TGCCCAACCTTACCCGGGTTGATGCTCCCCGTCGCCCGACCAGTACGGGGAGGTGGAATAACCCGCACCGGCCTATGTGGGCGAACCGGGAACACCATGCGTAAGGCTGGTGCCATGTACGCCGGCCCGAGAAGACGCACTGGTAGCCGGATGCGTTGGGCCGGCTTCATGACATCTGGCTCAATGCTCACTCTAACCCGGCCGATACGTGGAGCTGGAATGTACCGAACCGGGCTATGCCTGCGTACAGGAGACACCATGCGCTCTACTGCGTAACACGGTGTCTGCCCGTACTCTCGCTCTCCACGGTCAGTCCAGGGAGTAGGCGCAGGTCTCCTACCTGACTTCGCCACACTCCCTTTAAGCCCCCCCCCAATAAATGTTTGGGTAGTACCCACGGGCTTCCAGCCTTGACTCCGTGCTGCCTCCTCATACCGCCTCCTCTCAGCTTTAGCTGCCTCCAGCTCTTCACGAGGACGGCGATATTCTCCCGGTTGTGCCCAAGGACCCTTTCCATCCAGTATCTCCTCCCATGTCCATGAATCCTTTATAGGTGGATACTGTTGCCGCTTGACACGCTGCTTGGTCCTGTTTTGGTGGGTTTTTCTGTCACGGTCGTCTATGTCGTCTAAGTATGACCAAGGCGCAGCGTGTCCAAGAAACATGACTTTATTAAACAAACGTTATCGAACTACAAAACAAAAGACGACTCAATGAAGTCCACGGTACACTGACCGAAACGGAACAAAAACCCACAATTCCCACAGGAAAACAATCAGAATAAATATGGCTCCCAATCAGAGATAACGAGCCGACAGCTGACACTCGTTACCTCCGATTGGGAGTCATCGACCAAACCTAGAAATGCAGCCAACAGAAAGGCAAACCTAGAAACAAAACCAAAACCCAACAAAACAAAATACACCCTGGCTCAAATACAAAAGTCCCAGAGCCAGAGTGTCACAGAAAGCTTACCCCCTGCTATTCATCTGCAAGACTACACATTAGAGTGACTAAAGGGTGAAACATAAAGTCCATGCACTTATAGCTACTCATGTGGATTTAAATGTATTGGCTCCATAGCGGTTTGTAGGACTGTGTGAGTGCTGGGTGGTGATACCACCCTATATTGCTATGGACACTAAAGAGGACTGACTACCGGCGCTTGCGCTGAATTTACCTGATGGCCATCATAACCAATATTGCTCTCATAATCGTTATTATCTTAACGAGATTTCATTTGTTTGTATTAAAGGATAGCTGATTGTCATTTTATATGTTTAAATCAGAGGGGATGACCCCTGCCATTCTAATTTAATTGCATGCTGCTGGACAATCATCCTTTTTAATCATTCTACTCAAATGGCCTAGATAGCAATAATTGAAACACATGTAGTTATTATGTTGTTAGCTGAGCATCATGGCTCCACCAAGGGAACAATAATCTTACTATGCAGACTGCCTCAAATATGGCACTCCATTTAGCTGGTTTAAGAAGATTGAGCATACACAAATGTTGTGGATGTTGTTTCAAAGCCTAACACAACGAAATGGACAGCACTTTTTAAGGTGATGATTAATTCAAAACACCCATACACATATTAGAGCTTATGCATAGGCCTATATACACTGAGTATACCAAACATTAGGAACATGGGCATGGACTCTACAAGGTGTCGAAAGCATTCCACAGGAATGCTGGACCATGTTGACTCCAATGTTTCCCACAGTTGTGTCAAGTTGGCTGGATGTCCTTTGGGTGGTGGACCATTCTTGATACACACGGGAAACTGTTGAGCTTGAAAAACCCAGCAGCATTGCAGTTCTTGACATGAACTGGTGCACCTGGTACCTACTACCATACTATCTTGCCCATTCACTCACCCTTTGAATAGCACACAAACACAATCCATGTCTCAAGGCGTAACAATCTTTCTTTAACCTGACTCCTCCATCTATACTGATTGAAGTGGATTTAACAAGTGACGTCAATAATGGATCATAGCTTTCACCTGGATTCACCTGGTCAGTCTGTCATGGAAAGAGCAGGTGTTCTTAATGTTTTATGCACTTAGTATATGAGCCCAATCCCCCCCTAAAAAAGCCTGAATTAAAATAATGATTGTGCCGTTATACAATACATAGCCTAATAGCCTACCGCATATTACGCACGGCAGAAAAACATAATTGGTCTAGCCTATAATTCTAGTAATTGCCTTTAAGTGTGGACTGTATTATTATGCATACTGGATGGACTGATTACCTTATGCTACGCTCCAAACTTTCTATCCATGAGTCTGGGAGAGAACATAATATAGGCCTAGGCGATGCTGTTGGTTCATTGATTGTGCAGGGGGGCTTACAAAGTTAACCTACAATTATAGTGAATTTATATTTGATTTTGAATAGCCTAGTAATAGGGTATTTTTTATTGTTATAATTAATAGGCTGACACATTTCCTTTAGCTACAGGATATCTCACTACTGCGCATTTCCATCTCCTCCTCTCTCTCCTTTCTAGAGTGCGCAGAGAGAGGGGCTGTCAAGAATGTAATAAAATATGTTTAGTTGTGAAAACATGTTACTATCGATGTTCCCAAACAGATTTCACTTGTTTTCCCAAATTAAGCACTGTGTAGTTGCAGGAACAGGGTTGGAGAGCCCATGGCATACAGAGTTTCGGTGGGATATAACCTGTTGGCTGCAAGGCTGCATGCTCCTCAATCGGTGCGTGGAGTGAAATAAGTGTTCTTATACTGAACAAAGATATAAATGCAACAGGCAACAATGTCAAAGATTTTACTGAGCTACAAGGAATCAGTCAATTGAAATGAATTAATTAGGCCCTAATCTATGGATTTCACATGACTGGGAATACAGATATGCATCTGTTGGTCACAGACACAGTTGAAGTCGGATGTTTACATACATTTAGGTTGGAGTCATTAAAACTTGTTTTTCAACCACTCCACAAATTTCTTGTTAACAAACTATAGTTTTGGCAAGTCTGTTAGGACATCTACTTTGTGCATGACACAAGTAATTTTTCCAACAATTGTTTACAGACCGATTATTTCACTTACAGTGGGGAAAAAAAGTATTTAGTCAGCCACCAATTGTGCAAGTTCTCCCACTTAAAAAGATGAGAGAGGCCTGTAATTTTCATCATAGGTACACGTCAACTATGACAGACAAAATGAGAAAAAAAAATCCAGAAAATCACATTGTAGGATTTTTAATGAATTTATTGGCATATGATGGTGGAAAATAAGTATTTGGTCAATAACAAAAGTTTCTCAATACTTTGTTATATACCCTTTGTTGGCAATGACACAGGTCAAACGTTTTCTGTAAGTCTTCACAAGGTTTTCACACACTGTTGCTGGTATTTTGGCCCATTCCTCCATGCAGATCTCCTCTAGAGCAGTGATGTTTTGGGGCTGTCGCTGGGCAACACGGACTTTCAACTCCCTCCAAAGATTTTCTATGGGGTTGAGATCTGGAGACTGGCTAGGCCACTCCAGGACCTTGAAATGCTTCTTACGAAGCCACTCCTTCGTTGCCCGGGCGGTGTGTTTGGGATCATTGTCATGCTGAAAGACCCAGCCACGTTTCATCTTCAATGCCCTTGCTGATGGAAGGAGGGTTTCACTCAAAATCTCACGATACATGGCCCCATTCATTCTTTCCTTTACACGGATCAGTCGTCCTGGCCCCTTTGCAGAAAAACAGCCCCAAAGCATGATGTTTCCAACCCCATGCTTCACAGTAGGTATGGTGTTCTTTGGATGCAACTCAGCATTCTTTGTCCTCCAAACATGACGAGTTGAGTTTTTACCAAAAAGTTATATTTTGGTTTCATCTGACCATATGACATTCTCCCAATCCTCTTCTGGATCATCCAAATGCACTTCAGACGGGCCTGGACATGTACTGGCTTAAGCAGGGGGACACGTCTCGCACTGCAGGATTTGAGTCCCTGGCGGCGTAGTGTGTTACTGATGGTTGGCTTTGTTACTTTGGTCCCAGCTCTCTGCAGGTCATTCACTAGGTCCCCCCGTGTGGTTCTGGGATTTTTGCTCACCGTTCTTGTGATCATTTTGACCCCACGGGGTGAGATCTTGCGTGGAGCCCCAGATCGAGGGAGATTATCAGTGGTCTTGTATGTCTTCCATTTCCTAATAATTGCTCCCACAGTTGATTTCTTCAAACCAAGCTGCTTACCTATTGCAGATTCAGTCTTTCCAGCCTGGTGCAGGTCTACAATTTTGTTTTTGGTGTCCTTTGACAGCTCTTTGGTCTTGGCCATTGTGAAGTTTGGAGTGTGACTGTTTGAGGCTGTGGACAGGTGTATTTTATACTGATAACAAGTTCAAACAGGTGCCATTAATACAGGTAACGAGTGGAGGACAGAGGAGCCTCTGAAAGAAGAAGTTACAGGTCTGTGAGAGCCAGAAATCTTGCTTGTTTGTAGGTGACCAAATACTTATTTTCCACCATCATTTGCAAATAAATTCATAAAAAATCCTACAATGGGATTTTCTGGATTTTTTTTCCTCAATTTGTCTGTCATAGTTGACGTGTACCTATGATGAAAATTACAGGCCTCTCTCATCTTTTTAAGTGGGAGAACTTGCACAATTGGTGGCTGACTAAATACTTTTTTTCCCCACTGTATAATTCACTGTATCACAATTCCAGTGGGTCAGAAGTTGACATACACTACATTTACATTTACATTTGTCATTTAGCAGACGCTCTTATCCAGAGCGACTTACAGTTAGTGCATACATTTTCATACTAATCTCTTCAAATTGCATTCAATACAATATTCAGGGTTTCGCGAATGAGCTGCTTAGTTTGATACACCGACCACACGGTTAACAGCTATAGGCAGTAACCTGCCCTTCAGGGTCTGGAGAACATGTTGGGAGTAGGTCAGCAACCTTCTGATTCTGCACCGCAACACGTCAAGAGAAAACACAGGATGGGCAGCCATTATGGTGGGAAGCCCCTCCACCTCTCTATGGAACCAGAGGGCTGTGTGTGATGGAGGAGTCTGGGCCGTAGGCTACAGGTCATGTGGTCTCAGACTGACCAACCAGACTGCAGCACACCTGAGGGATGGGGTGAGGGCAGTTCACATAGACTGACACCAGACTGCAGCGCCCAACTCCTGAAGAGGTGATGGCAGCCTCGGATATCATCGACTTCCTACAGCCGCCCTTGTAGACAGACCAAAAGCCTCATTTCAGAACAGACCAGCCTCAGTGCCATCAGAACCCCAAAGGTATCGGGTCATTTTATGACGGATGCATTGTATTTTCTGTACGGCTGCCAAAGACAAACTCGTTTTATAATGACAACCATAACGTGATCAACAGACAGTCTTGAATCTGCAGCAGTGAAAAGGCACAGTCAACACTAAGTTGACTGTGCCTTTAAACAGCTTGGAAAATTCCAGAAAATTATGTCATGGCTTTAGAAGCTTCTGATAGGCTAATTGACATAATTTGAGTCAATTGGAGGTGTACCTGTGGATGTATTTCAAGGCCTACCTTCAAACTCAGTGCCTCTTTGCTTGACATCATGGGAAATAAGAATGTGTTCTTATTTTTTGTATTTTTTATTTAACCTTTATTTAACTAGGCAACTCAGTTAAGAACAAATTCTTATTTACAATGACGGCCTACACCGGCCAAACCGACGCTTGGCCAATTTTGCGCCGCCCTATGGGACCGGCCGGTTGTGATACAGCCTGGAATCGAACCAGGGGGTCTGTGATGACGCCTCAAGCACTGAGATGCAGTGCCTTAGACCACTGCGCCACTCGTTAAATACACTTGCATAGTTAAATAAAAATAAATAAAAATAAAATTACATTCCTGCAGTCAGCATGCCAATTGCACATTCTCTCAAAACTTGAGACATCTCTGGCATTGTGTTGTGTGTCAAAACTGCACATTTTAGAGTGCCTTTTATTGTCCCCAACCCAAGGTGCACCTGTGTAATGATCATGCTGTTTAATCAACTTCTTGATATGCCACCCCTGTCAGGTGGATGGATTATCTTGGCAACAGAGAAATGCACACCAACAGGGATGTAAACAAATTTGTGCAAAATAAGCTTTTTTTTGCATTAGGAACATTTCTGGGATCTTTTATTTCAGCTCATGAAACCAACATTTTACATTTACATTTTTAGTCATTTAGCAGACGCTCTTATCCAGAGCGACTTACAGGAGCAATTAGGGTTAAGTGCCTTGCTCAAGGACACATCGACAGAATTTTCACCTAGTCGGCTCGGGGTTAGAACCAGCGACCTTTCGGTTACTGGCACAACGCTCTTAACCACTAAGCTACCTGCCGCCTCAACACTTTACATGCTGTATTTATAGTTTTGTTCAGCGTATAAACCCGGACATTTCTATATTCAATCCCATTTAAAAGCAGAGTTTTGATGGTTGCCCTTAAAATGAGGAGGATCCCAGATGCTACTATATTTATTTCTCAGCTGCTCATATTAACCACCTGCTCTACTATAAAACCGGAGTAGTAGCTTACCCGGCATGATTGAAAAACAAACTGTGGGAACGTTGCCTCCATTCTCTATTTGAGTGCATACGGATGTCTTTTTACTGCTGCCACTGTTCCTGCCCATTTGATAATGAGCCATTCTAAATTGAAACTAATTTTACATATTATTAAAGACAAGATTAAATTGAGAATAGTCTGATGGGTGAAAATATGATCACTTGATGAGAGAACAGCATGCACACGTATGAGCAACCTGAGGCAAGGAACAGATCACAAGCTTTTTTTGTGACTTTCTCAAATCATTAATAGCCTATAGACGCATCATGCAGCCCATATACTGTATGTTTTGATTTCTAAGACATTCTAAGGTAGCGTATAGAACCTGTTTCAAATGATCACTTTTACGCTCAACATAGCCACTTCATATGCACACTTGGTCCGGAAAGGAATTATATTCCTCTTACTTTAAAATCATATAAAATAAAATAATGGCACAGGACGATTTTGTCTGCTAAATGAACTAGCCTACTGCCTATGGCATGGCACAAAAATACATTTTCTTCATATCATTAGGTTTCTTTAGAGCTGCCTGAAAAAATAATGGATTTATTGTGATAGTGCATATTAAATGGATGCAGTAGATGCAGTTATTTGCATGAAAATAACCGGCTGACAAAATGCAGTTATTTGCATGACTTCTACAGCGCTACCCTTGCTCTGCAAAGGCCGCGGCTTTTGTGGAGCAATAGGTAACGATGCTTCGTGGGAGGCAGTTGTTGATGTGTTCAGAGGGTCCCTGGGTCGAGCCAAGGTTGGGGCAAGGAGAGGGACGAAAGCAATAATGTTACATTGGATCACTCAGTTGGGCTCTGCCCAGCTGCTGGGGTTGCTGTGGAGGTTGTCAAAGAGGGGTAAGTGTAACCGGTGTGAAATGGCTAGTTAGATAGCGGTGCATAGTAGTAGTGTTTCAGTTGGTGACGACACTCGCTCTGAGACCTTGAAGTATTTGTTTCACTTGCTCTGCAAAGGCTGTGGCTTTTGTGGAACGATGTGGTTCGAGCCCAGCTTGGGGCAAGGAGAGGGACATAAGCAATACAGTTACATTTGTTTCTGTGTGTCTGTGTGCAAGCATGTGTTTGTGTGGGTGTTTATATCTGACCCATCCTGTTTTCTCTGTCCCCTCTCTCCAGAGGAACAGTGGGGATGTGACATCTACAGCCTTGGTCAAGCACCTGAGTCACCGGCGCTTTGTGGCGTCATTCCAGGTGGACAGTGTGCAGCGCAACGACCAGGACCTGTACCGCTGTGTCACCCAGTCTTCCAGGGGCTCTGGGGTCTCCAACTTCGCTGAGCTCATCGTCAAAGGTAAATACGCCTGCCATCAGTCAGTGGGACGAGGCTACTAGGTTATGGATCTCTCAATATGCTGTACTGTAGGTCTATGAACCAAGGGTGAACTGAATAAAACTGGTTTAGTCATGTTACTTTGTGTTAGCAAAAGCAGAAAATGGTGTAAATGAACATTTACATAATCCGTAATCAATTTACACCTCCCACACACTTGTCAGCTGTGGCATAATTCAATCAGCACATTGAAGTGCTTGATTGATATTATCATATAGACTATGATGCATGCGGTATCGTAAGCAAAGCACATCCTTCAAATACAATAATTGTAACTCCAAATATGTATGTTGGCACTATAAATAAACATAAAATAATAACAAAATATGTTTTATTGTCACATACAATAAAAAGGTTAAGTGCCTTACTCAAGGACACATCGGCAGACTTTTCACCTTAGGTATTTAAACCGGCAACCTTTCGGTTACAGGCCCAATGCTCTAACCACTAGGATACAGTGAGGGAAAAAAGTATTTGATCCCCTGCTGATTTTGTACGTTTGCCCACTGACAAAGACATGAACAGTCTATAATTTTAATGGTAGGTTTATTTGAACAGTGAGAGACAGAATAACAACAACAAAATCCAGAAATATGCATGTCAAAAATGTTATAAATTGATTTGCATTTTAATGAGGGAAATAAGTATTTGACCCCTCTGCAAAACATGACTTAGTACTTGGTGGCAAAACCCTTGTTGGCAATCACAGAGGTCAGACGTTTCTTGTAGTTGGCCACCAGGTTTGCACACATCTCAGGAGGGATTTTGTCCCACTCCTCTTTGCAGATCTTCTCCAAGTCATTAAGGTTTCGAGGCTGACGTTTGGCAACTCGAACCTTCAGCTCCCTCCACAGATTTTCTATGGGATTAAGGTCTGGAGACTGGCTAGGCCACTACAGGACCTTAATGTGCTTCTTCTTGAGCCACTCCTTTGTTGCCTTGGCCGTGTGTTTTGGGTCATTGTCATGCTGGAATACCCATCCACGACCCATTTTCAATGCCCTGGCTGAGGGAAGGAGGTTCTCACCCAAGATTTGATGGTACATGGCCCCGTCCATCGTCCCTTTGATGCGGTGAAGTTGTCCTGTCCCCTTAGCAGAAAAACACCCCCAAAGCATAATGTTTCCACCTCCATGTTTGATGTTGTTCTTGGGGTCATAGGCAGCATTCCTCCTCCTCCAAATATGGCGAGTTGAGTTGATGCCAAAGAGCTCGATTTTGGTCTCATCTGACCACAACACTTTCACCCAGTTCTCCTCTGAATCATTCAGATGTTCATTGGCAAACTTCAGACGGGCCTGTATATGTGCTTTCTTGAGCAGGGGGAACTTGCGATTTCAGTCCTTCACGGCGTAGTGTGTTACCAATTGTTTTCTTGTTGACTATGGTCCCAGCTGCCTTGAGATCATTGACAAGATCCTCCCGTGTAGTTCTGGGCTGATTCCTCACCGTTCTCATGATCATTGCAACTCCACGAGGTGAGATCTTGCATGGAGCCCCAGGCCGAGGGAGATTGACAGTTATTTTGTGTTTCTTCCATTTGCGAATAATCGCACCAACTGTTGTCACTTTCTCACCAAGCTGCTTGGCGATGGTCTTGTAGCCCATTCCAGCCTTGTGTAGGTCTACAATCTTATCCCTGACATCCTTGGAGAGCTCTTTGGTCTTGGCCATGGTGGAGAGTTTGGAATCTGATTGATTGCTTCTGTGGACAGCTGTCTTTTATACAGGTAACAAGCTGAGATTAGGAGCACTCCCTTTAAGAGTGTGCTCCTAATCTCAGCTCGTTACCTGTATAAAAGACACCTGGGAGCCAGAAATCTTTCTGATTGAGAGGGGGTCAAATACTTATTTCCCTCATTAAAATGCAAATCAATTTATAACATTTTTGACATGCGTTTTTCTGAATTTTTTTGTTGTTATTCTGTCTCTCACTGTTCAAAGAAACCTACCATTAAAATTATAGACTGATCATTTCTTTGTCAGTGGGCAAATGTACAAAATCAGCGGGGGATCAAATACTTTTTGTCCCTCACTGTACCTGCTGCCCATAGCTCTACATTCAATGAAGAAATACAACCTGTCTGTGTTAATATCTTGGGACTGGCAGTGTCACCAAGGGATGAATAATGTGTTTGTTTTAATTGACTGTGTTTTGAATCTTAATGTGTATTTAATGTGTATATCGTCTATATTTATGTTTGCCTGATGTACAGTTGAAGTTGGAAGTTTACATACACTTAGGTTGGAGTCATTAAAACTCGTTTTTCAACCTCTCCACAAATTTCTTGTTAACAAACTATAGTTTTGGCAAGTTGGTTAGGACATCTACTTTGTGCATGACACATGTAATTTTTCCAACAATTGTTTACAGACAAATTATTTCACTTATAATTCACTGTATCACAATTTCAGAATTTTACATACACTAAGTTGACTGTGCCTTTAAACAGCTTGGAAAATTCCAGAAAATGATGTCTTGGCTTTAGAAGCTTCTGATAGGCTAATTGACATATTTTGAGTCAATTGGAGGTGTACCTGTGGATGTATTTCAAGGCCTACCTTCAAACTCAGTACCTCTTTGCTTCACATCATGTGAAAATCAAAACAAATCAGCCAAGACCTCAGAAATAAATTTGTAGACCTTCTGGTTCATCCTTGGGAGCAATTTCCAAATGCCTGAAGGTACCACATTCATCTGTACAAACAATAGTACGCAAGTATAAACACCATGGGACCACGCAGCCGTCATACCGATCAGGAAGGAGACACGTTCTGTCTCCTAGAGATGAACGTACTTTGGTGTGAAAAGTGCAAATCAATCCCAGAACAACAGCAAAGTACCTTGTGAAAATGCTGGAGGAAACAGGTACATAATATCTATATCCACAGTAAAATGAGTCCTATATCGACATAACCTGAAAGGCCGCTCAGCAAGGATGAAGCCACTGCTCCAAAACCGCCATAAAAAAAGCCAGACTACGGTTTGCAACTGCACATGAGGACAAAGATCATACTTTTTGGAGAAATGTCCTCTGGTCTGATGAAACAAAAATAGAACTGTTTGGCCATAATGACCATCATTATGTTTGGAGGAAAAAGGAGGGCTTGCAAGCCGAAGAACACCATCCCAACCGTGAAGAACGGGGGTGGCAGCATCATGCTGTGGGGGTGCTTTGCTGCAGGAGGGACTGGTGCACAAAATAGATTGCATCATGAGGAAGGAAAATTATGTGGATATATTGAAGCAACATCTCAAGACATCAGTCAGGAAGTTAAAGTTTGGTCGCAAATGGGTCTTCCAAATGGACAATGACCCCAAGCATACTTCCAAAGTTGTGGCAAAATGGCTTAAGGACAACAAAGTCAAGGTATTAGAGTGGCCATCACAAAGTCTTGACCTCAATTCTATAGAAACTTTGTGGGCAGAACTGAAAAAGCGTGTGCGAGCAAGGAGGCCTACAAACCTGACTCAGTTACACCAGCTCTGTCAGGAGGAATGGGCCAAAATTCACCCAACTTATTGTGGGAAGCTTGTGGAAGGCTACATTAAACGTTTGACCCAAGTTAAACAATTGAAAGGCAATGCTACCAAATACTAATTGAGTGTATGTACACTTCTGACCCACTGGGAATATGATTAAAGAAATAAAAGCTGAAATAAATAATTCTCTCTACTATTATTCTGACATTTCACATTCTTAAAACAAAGTGGTGATCCTAACTGACCTAAGACAGGGAATTTTTACTAGGATTAAATGTCAGGAATTGTGAAAAACTGAGTTTAAATGTATTTGGCTAAGGTGTATGTGAACTTCCGACTTCAACTGTATATGCTTGTTTTTGTATTGTGCAGGGCTCATTTGTAAAAGTGACTTTAGTCTCAATATGACTTCCCTGTTGAAATAATAATAATAATGTTCCTGGCTGATCAGTAGAGCAGTGTTAGAGAGCTGACCTTTTGGACTCCAATGTTGATCCATCATCTCACCCCTCATATCATGCTCTGCAGATGGCCCAACCTCAGTCCCATTACTCACTCTAACCCTAGAGCCTGACACTGCTCTGACAGCTCTGATGACACGGCTCAATAGGAGGGTTTGATGCCACGCCAGGCCCCAATCCCTAAACCAGAGGAATGAGATGGAGAGGGAAATAAGGACATGGAGAAATCTTATTCTACTCGTCTCCTCTCATCCTTTATATCCTTTGCATCATCACTTCTTAAAACAGGCCTTGAAAGTAGGGAGAGGTGGTAGAGAGAGGGAAAGAGGAGAGAGAAAGAGAGCGAGAGTAAGAAAAAAGAGGGGGGAGGGGGAAAGATAATAAGTAAAGGGGGGTTGTGAAATAGCACCAATCTAATCCCATTGATAGATGTGGCATCATGGATTACGTTGAGTTTAGTGATACGGACCATTTGGTGGACAACAGCACAGCCCCTAGCCAGAGCAGCACTAAGCTCACATAGTGTCTTCCAGTAAACAACAGCCTCAATCAATTCACAGACAGAGGGCCATACAATCTCCAAGTGATGTGCTCAGATCTATAGAAAACTGTACAATGAATTCTCAGCTCTGGAATTGTTAGTAGCATTATAGTAGTGACATGGTTGTTGCCGTAGCTTTTTTAAAATTCAGAATATCTGGGTTATTTTTGGCATGGTGTGTTCTGTCCTGACTCCTGAGAGCTGATGCATAGCCATTCTGCAACGGGTCATAACTCATAGCTGCTCGTTCAGTCACTGATACTCTGTGTAGTACTTGCAGTGCAAGGCCCTTAACAAGGCTTTTATAAACCCCCCTCCCCCACTGCCCCCGCTAACGAGAGGGTAATCAGCCTTTTAATTAGCTTGATCAACTCATTTCAGATCACACAAGTGCTCCACGTTCGGCACATAGATTGCATGCAAAGAGGCCCATAGAGGACAGAGCTCAGTCACTGCAATGTAGAACACATTTTGTGGTGTTTCACCCCTGAGGTGTTTTTGGCTAAGATTTATCATATCAGTAGTCATGTTTCAATAAAAAACTCATTTTCAGGGATCTCGAAAAATTATCATCATTGAGTAAATACATAAGTAAATAAAAAGCTACATTAACAAACCTCCAGCTGATACAGTCAGCTGGGTTTGTGATCCTAAATACAAAATGGTGCTGAAAACAGAAATGCAACAGTAATGAATAATGCCAGTTATAGAATCCTTGGGAAAGTACAGTAAGGGAGTTTTGTTGATGTCAATTTACATCAATATATAGTACTATAGCTTGTCTCCCTGTACTTCCAGAGGCTTGTGAGGCTTGCATGATTGCCTGCAGTGTGGACGTGCTCTGTGGAAGCGTCCATGGGATGAGGCAGGAATAGAGACGAGAGCCCTCTGAGAGGATAGTCATAATAGACACCGGCGCCTCTGCAGGAATCAGGGATTAGTCACAGCCACAGTTCTAACTCTGATGTTTCTCTTGCTCTTAGTCCTAGTTTTTCTGCATTCCCTTCTTCCCCTCACACAGTCACCTTTCTGTATAATTGCTCAGTGGCTCTGAGAGTCTGCTGTAAGTGACATTTGGATGGACTCTGAAATTAATCCCTGATTTGGTCCTCTGTAGCTCAATTGGTAGAGCGTGGCGCTTGTAACGCCAGGGTAGTGGGTTCGATCCCCGGGACCACCCATACGTAAAAATTTATGCACACATGACTGTAAGTCGCTTTGGATAAAAGCGTCTGCTAAATGGCATATTATATTATTATTATTATATTATTTGGCATCTTGCCCTCGAAATTATGTTGGGTCTCTTCTTTCATCATGGTAACTTCCTCTGTGAAGTGCTTGCGTTAATTCCGGTGCCAGCGGACGCACACATCGCTCAATTAAGAGAGCTTGTATTCTGAGATAATACACATTCCTCAGACCATATATACAGCTGTTTTTTTCACTCGCGGTTCTCTGCTATGTTCATGTATGGCTAGTTAATGTGCTATTAATAGGTGGGGCTGTAGTGGAACAGGTTGAGAGCTTCAAGTTCATTGGTGTCCTCATCACCAACAAACTATCATGGTCCAAACACAGCAAGACAGTCGTAAAGAGGGCACGACAAAGCCTATTCCCCCTCAGGAGACTGAAAAGACTTGGCATGGGTCCTCAGATCCTCAAAAAGTTATACAGCTGCACCATCGAGAGCATCCTGACTGGTTGAATCACTGCCTGGTATGGCAACTGCTCGGCCTTCAACCGCAAGGCACTACAGAGGGTAGTGCGTACGGCCCAGTACGGGGCCAAGCTTCCTGCCATCCAGGACCTCTATACCAGGCGGTGTCAGAGGAAGGCCCTCAAAATTGTCAAAGACTCCAGCCACCCTAGTCATAGACTGTTCTCTCTGCTACCGCACGGCAAGTGGTACCGGAGCGCCAAGTCTAGGTCCAAAAGGCTTCTTAACAGCTTTTACCCCCAAGCCATAAGACTCCTGAACAGCTAATCATGGCTACCCGGACTGTTTGCATTGTCCCCCCACCCCACCCCCTCTTTTACACTGCTGCTACTCTCTGTTTATTATCTCTGCATAGTCACTTTAACTCTACCCACATGTACGTATTACCTCAATTACCTCGACTAACCTGTGCCCCCGCATATTGACTCTGTACCGGTACCCATTTACATTTACATTTTAGTCATTTAGCAGACGCTCTTATCCAGAGCGACTTACAGTTAGTGAGTGCATACATTTTTTCATACTGGTCCCCCGTGGGAATCGAACCCACAACCCTGGCGTTGCAAGCGCCATGATCTACCAACTGAGCTACACAGGACTACGGAATTAACATAATCAATAATGTTCCCTTTTCTACTCCAACACAACCTTCACTTAAACGTCCCAAAAACAACAACTTTCTTCACATAAATAAAGGAACACAAATACATTTATATCCAAATCCACATGTATATAGCCTCCCCACTGTTATTTTATTTGACTGCTGCTCTTTAATATTTTTTATTTTTGTATTTTTTACTCATCTATTTTTTACTTGACACTTATTTTTCTTAAAACTGCATTGTTGGTTAAGGGCTTGTAAGTAAGCATTTCACTGTAAGGTCTACACCTGTTGTATTAGGCGATTGTGGCAAATAAAATGTGATTTGATTTGATTTGTCCAATCTGCTATTTGAAACCTTGACCTGCTCACATTCCTCAGCCCCGGGGGGCTCAAACAAACCTGAGAGTTATAGATTTAGTAAAAGGAGGCCTATTTAGAGTAAAAGGATGAAAAAAGATGATAAGCATGTTGTAATAAGACTGATTAGTAATAGTACATAGTACTTATAAGTACAGTGGAATCCATTTCAACCGCTTCTGAACAAGATAGCCCTCAAATTTCACATAATGGATGGGAAAAATACAGCTACAGTGTATAGAAGCAATAATAACATTTAAATAACCTCATAGCCTTCTACCCTGTCTTCTTCCCACAGTTCCCCCCTCCCCTATCGCACCCCCACAGCTGCTGCGAGCGGGCTCCACATATCTGATCATCCAGCTCAACACCAACTCCATCTTGGGAGACGGCCCTATCATCAGGAAGGAGATTGAGTACCGGGCCAGCCAATCACCTTGGTCCGAGGTCCATGGGGTCAACATGGTCACCTACAAGCTGTGGCACCTGGACCCAGACACGGAGTATCACATAAGTGTGTTGCTGACCCGGCCCGGAGAGGGCGGCACCGGACCACCCGGACCACCTCTCGTCAGCAGGACTAAGTGTGCAGGTGAGGGTCTGGGCGGTGTGACGAGGTCTAGATAAGCTTGTTAGTATGAGACATTCTCATAGTTGGCCGTGTTTGGTAACACAGAATATTTTGGTAATACATGTTATTAACCACTTGCAAATTCTTGATAAAATCTTACCATACCATATCATATTTTTAAAGCCACATACACTTTGAATAGATTTGCAATTTTTATTGTAAGATCACTCTAGTTTTATGTGATATGTTTATAGTCTTGATAAATAGAGGGAAATGTATCACTCCTCTGTGGATTTTAACTCAGAAACCTCAGAAACGCTCCTTATATTTTTTTGTCATTTTAGAGAGGATATTTCCTCAGACAATTCAAAGTACAGATGCCCAACAGCTAGATGCTCACACTTTATTTAATCTCAGAGTAAGTGCTTCATTATATTGTTGAATTTGAAAAGTGGAATAACAGACCATCGACTGTGGTGATAATGTGGCAAAATTGTATTCCAGACTGAAACCCCTCTGTGAGATTGAGAGGTGGTGTTGTTCCTCAGATTTTTTTGTAAAAATATAATTTGTACTGGAAGAAAAACAACTAACACACACACACACATACACACCACACACACACATGCACACACACACACTCAGAACCACACAATTCATGCCTATTTCCTGTGGGCAGTTGTCCCATGTCTTCGACAGTCATCAGTCTTTAGTATGCCCAGCGGTCTCTTCCCACCACAAACCATCTCTCACACCCCTCCCCTCCCTGTTCCACCAACCACAGCCTCCATGTCCTCTCTCTAATGACACATTAAGCACACTCCCTTTTCCCAATAGCCACAGACACCACCTATTCATCAGTAAAATAGAGAGAGCCCACAGCCAGCTCTCACTGAAAAACACAGAGAAAAATATAAAATGAGAGGAAGTAGAGAAAGGATACACGAGGAAAAAATGATAATATTTTCAAAGAGATAGACAGGGAAAGAGGAGAGTGAATTTTATAGTTCTGAAGTGAGAGAGGATGCACACAATGTTCTAATGTAAATTACTTTCAGTGGCACCAATATTATCCTGTCTGAAGTTTCTGAATTTCAACCTCTGATATATTACATTTCATCCCACTGTGACATTAGCTTGTGCATCCATGTGTGTAGTTAAAAATGCCACTGTGTTTGCTTACCTGTTAAACAGAGCATTTAGATGCAATGGGGAGAACAAGTATTTGATACACTGCCGATTCTGCAGGTTTTCCTACTTACAAAGCATGTAGAGGTCTGTAATTTTTATCATAGGTACACTTCAACTGTGAGAGATGGAATCTAAAACAAAAATCCAGAAAATCACATTGTATGATTTTTAAGTATTTAATTTGCATTTTATTGCATGACATAAGTATTTGATACATCAGAAAGCAGAACTTAATATTTGGTACAGAAACCTTTGTTTGCAATTACAAAGATCATACGTTTCCTGTAGGTCTTGACCAGGTTTGCACACACTGCAGCAGGGATTTTGGCCCACTCCTCCATACAGACCTTCTCCAGATCCTTCAGGTTTTGGGGCTGTCGCTGGGCAATACGGACTTTCAGCTCCCTCCAAAGATTTTCTATTGGGTTCAGGTCTGGAGACTGGCTAGGCCACTCCAGGACCTTGAGATGCTTCTTACAGAGCCACTCCTTAGTTGCCCTGGCTGTGTGTTTCGGGTCGTTGTCATGCTGGAAGACCCAGCCACGACCCATCTTCAATGCTCTTACTGAGGGAAGGAGGTTGTTGGCCAAGATCTCGCGATACATGGCCCCATCCATCTTCCCCTCATTACGGTGCAGTCGTCCTGTCCCCTTTGCAGAAAAGCATCCCCAAAGAATGATGTTTCCACCTCCTTGCTTCACGGTTGGGATGGTGTTTTTGGGGTTGTACTCATCCTTCTTCCTCCAAACACAGCGAGTGGAGTTTAGACCAAAAAGCTCTATTTTTGTCTCATCAGACCACATTACCTTCTCCCATTCCTCCTCTGGATCATCCAGATGGTCATTGGAAAACTTCAGACGGGCCTGGACATGCGCTGGCTTGAGCAGGGGGACCTTGCGTGCAGGATTTTAATCCATGACGGCGTAGTGTGTTACTAATGGTTTTCTTTGAGACTGTGTTCCCAGCTCTCTTCAGGTCATTGACCAGGTCCTGCCGTGTAGTTCTGGGCTGATCCCTCACCTTACTCATGATCATTGATGCCCCACGAGGTGAGATCTTGCATGGAGCCCCAGACCGAGGGAGATTGACCGTCATCTTGAACTTCTTCCATTTTCTAATAATTGCGCCAACATTTGTTGCCTTCTCACCAAGCTGCTTGCCTATTGTCCTGTAGCCCATCCCAGCCTTGTGCAGGTCTACAATTTTATCCCTGATGTCTTTACACAGCTCTCTGGTCTTGGCCATTGTGGAGACGTTGGAGTCTGTTTGATTGAGTGTGTGGACAGGTGTCTTTTATACAGGTAACGAGTTCAAACAGGTGCAGTTAATACAGGTAATGAGTGGAGAACAGGAGGGCTTCTTAAAGAAAAACTAACAGGTCTGTGAGAGCTGGAATTCTTACTGGTTGGTAGGTGATCAAATACTTATGTCATGCAATAAAATGCAAATGAATTACTTAAAAATCATACAATGTGATTTTCTGGATTTTTGTTTTAGATTCCGTCTCTCACAGTTGAAGTGTACCTATGATAAAAATTACAGACCTCTACATGCTTTGTAAGTAGGAAAACCTGCAAAATTGACAGTGTATCAAATACTTGTTCTCCCCACTGTAGGTGTATCATGGAAAATGTCGCCTGAATTAAGTTTGTCATGTTTTTTTCCTCCAGACAATTTGCATACCAGTGGCTACTAATAATATAATCTATAGTTTTGTCTTGGCAGTATAGTTCATGTTGGTGACTCCAAATAACTGTATCAGATATCAAAGCTCAACCTCTTTACCTGTAATTTCACCAGCTGTTGTTTTCACAACATACAATGCATTCGGAAAGCATTCAGACCCCTTGACTTTTCCCACATTCTTTTTACGTTACAGCCATATTCTAAAATGGATTAATAAATAAAACAATCCTCATCAATCTACACACAATACCCCATAATGACAAAGCGAAAACAGGTTTTTAGAAAATTCAGACCCTTTGATATGAGACTCGAATTTGAGCTCAGGCGCATCCTGTTTCCATTGATCATCCTTGAGATATTTCTACAACTTGATTGGAGTCCCCCTGTGGTAAATTCAATTGATTGGACATGATTTGGAAAGGCACATACCTGTCTATATAAGGCCCCACAGTTGACAGTGCATGTCAGAGCAAAAACCAAGCCATGAGGTCGAATGAATTGCCCGTAGAACTCCGAGACAGGATTTTGTCGAGGCACAGATATGGGGAATGGTACCAAAACAGTTCTGCAGCATTGAAGGTCCCCAAGAACACAGTGGCCTCCATCATTCTTAAATGAAAGAAGTTTGGAAACACCAAGACTCTTTCTAGAGCTGCCGGCCCGGCCAAACTGAGCAATTGGGGGAGAAGGGCCTTGGTCAGGGAGGTGACCAAGAACCTGATGGTCACTCTGACAAAGCTCCAGAGTTCTTCTGTGGAGATGGGAGAACCTTCCAGAAGGACAACCATCTCTGCAGCACTCCACCAATCAGGCATTTATGGTAGAGTGGCCAGACGAAGCCTCTTCTCAGTAAAACACACATGACAGCCCGCTTGGAGTTTGCCAAAAGGCACCTAAAGGACTCTCAAACCATGAGAAACAAGGTCCTCTGGTCTGATGAAACCAAGATTTTTTCAGCAGCAGGGACTGGGAGACTAGTCAGGATCGAGGGAAAGATGAATGGAGTAAAGTACAGAGAGATCCTTGATGAAAACCTGCTCCAGAGCATTCAGACTGGGGCAAAGGTTCAACTTCCAACAGGACAACGCTCCTAAGCACACAGCCAAGACAACGCAGGAGTGTTTTCGGGACCAGTTTCTGAATGTCTTTGAGTGGCCCAGCCAGAGCCCCGACTTGAACACGATTTAACATCTCTGGAGAGACCTGGAAATAGCTGTGCAGCGACGCTCCCCATCCAACCTGTCAGAGCTTGAGAGGATCTGCAGAGAAGAATGGGAGAAACTCCCCAAATACAGGTGTGCCAAACTTGTAGCATCATACCCAAGAAGACTCGAGGCTGTAATCGCTGTCAAAGATGCTTCAACAAAGTATTGAGTAAAGGGTCTGAATATTTATGTAAATGTATTATTTCAGTTTTTTATTTTTAATAAATGTGCAAACATTTCTAAAAACCTGTTTTTGCTTTGTCATTATGGGGTATTGTGTGAAGATTGATAAGGAAAAAAAAACAATTTAATCAATTTTAGAATAAGGCTGTAACGTAACAAAATGTGGAAAAAGTAAATGGGTCTGAATACTTTCGAAATGCACTGTAAGGGTTAGGTTGTTGTGCCTACTGGCTTGATCTGTTGGTGGCCTGATCCTGATTCACACACCTTCACATACCCCTCATCCATCTGGTGTATCTCACCATGTCCACCCTCCAGGAGTCTAATCACCACCAGGGCACCCTTGAGTTCCTCTGATCCCCGTCTCCCAGCCCAGCCCCCAGACCATCTGGTCCAGAACTCACACTGACCCCACACTTCATCATTGCATTTTGATCCTCCTCACCTTTGTTGGGCTGCTTAGGTCTAGGCATAAGGAAATATATGTTCTTGTCACAGTGGGGATCTCTGGGAGTGTGTTAATTAGCAGAGTGAACAGACGGGAGGCTTGGACCCTCTTGGTGTTCTTCTGACTAAAGTGAATTTCCTCTCCAAAAAAGAGTGTTGCCATGGACTGGGTATGTTCTGCTGTTCTGTGTGAACACCGCCTCTCTTCCTGGCTGGCTCTGATCTATATAGTGGAGCCCAGGCATCCTCCTGTGGGTGCTGTAAAACTAATGGCCGTGAATGTGAACATGGTCTCCGCCCGCCTCTGATGGCCAGCCAGGTGTGCTTGATGAGCCATCACTGTGATTATCAGCAGGGCTGCATTATCGTAGCTCGAAGCCCCTCAAGTAAATCACAGAGGAGACAAGTTATTTCGTACCGCAGGTGGTCCCCAAACCACGTTAATAGGCTTCCACCAGCAGCTGGGTCACTGAGCCTTCTGGAGAGCCCCCTGCGACCAAACCTCTCTGCCAAGCGAGGGGCTTCATACCGGTGCCCGACTAAAATTAGGAACAGAACATTACAAGGGGTAATAAACCAGAAGCTCTCCCCTTCCTTTCCTCTCACTTCTATACCGTGAGGAACAAGCATGCCACTCTGGTCTCTGGGCCATGTTGGGGATGCTGCAACCCCTTTCCGAAGGGTGCCAGGGAGTGTGCGCTGCACACAGTCGAGCGTGGCATGCAGACAAATAGACTGGGCAAAGGGAAGGGTGTTGGCACAAAAGTCCACTTTGATGAAAATCCACAATGGGCACACTGTGGCCTCTTCAGTGTTTTTTTCATCAGCTCCTCAGTTAAAAGCCCCTCTTTATTTAGCTTTGAGACTGTGCAGACTATCAATTACACCATAAAGACAATCCTCAATCAGATTGTAGAATTGTTCAAACATTTCTTGCCGCGTCTAATGTACCACTACTTGCCCACACATTTTTCTGCTGTCACAGACTGATGTTCAGAACAATGCAGTGGTCATGTTTCCTTCTAGACCGAGATGCCAGCAAACAAATTAGGAAAGTAAACCGGTGACTGTGGAGACGCTTTAGTATAGATTGCCAGTGTCATGAAATTCTGCTTCAGGGAGAAAGATAATGAATACAAAGGGATAAATGGTTCAACTTCAGGGAGAGATATAATGAATAGAAAGGGATAAATGGATCAACTTCAGGGAGAGATATAATGAATGGAATGGGAAAAGGGATAAATATCCGCGAGGAAGAGGATGGCCTTTTGAGTGGTGAGTGTGTGCGTGTGCCTGTTTGTGCTCGTATGTGTTCTTGCAGACTTAGAGAGAGCACCTTTCAAATCCATATCCTTTGATTACTCCCTTTGTTCCTTCAAGCTTTCCCTCGCTCATCGATGCATTAGCTCCATTGTTTTAGTCCTCAGCACAAATAGCTGCAGTGAGAGAATAATCCCTTTGAGTGTGATAGTCAGTGCAGGAATGAAGACGGTGGCTGGTATTACCTTACTCTTCTCACTGCTGAGCACTCCGCTCCATATCTCCTCTGTCACTCTCACTCTCCTCCACCATTAGTCACGAATCCCTATTAAAAGAACAAAGCAATACAATACATTATGTGGAATATTGTTTGACAAAAAGTCATTGATTGTGTTAATAATGGGCTGTGACAAATGTCTCCATTGGTAGTGTGCTGCCTGAAAGTGTCCTTGGCTCACCCCTGCAGCCTGTATCTCTTACTGCAACACTGACTTCCTTGTGCCTTCAGGCATAGAGGCTTCTCAGTATCTCTGTATCCCTCTATCTGTCTATGCCGACGGAGGAATAGAAAGACAAGGCTGTAGTTCTCTCTGTTTGAGTCAAAGGAAAACAGGGTTGACCCCAAACCCATCCACAATGACCCAGCAATAAAGATAACCGGTGGAATTGAACGCCCTTGGACAGCACTCTTAGTTTTGGTTCTGAATTTGGCCTCTGGGCATGGAACTATAGCGGACACTCAATTTGCTAGTTGACACGGAGGTGGGGACTGGCGGGGGTGTGACAGAGACCCGCAGCCTGTCCCATTAATTAGCGTAATTGGCACTAGTCCGTGCATGGCTGGCGGGTGACGTGGGTGTGCCGCGCCCACAGTTTCTCTCTGGCAGTAAAACTGTTGACCTCTATGATGGGACATGGTAGTGCCACATAGCTTGGATGAACAGCTTCCAACACATCGGCGTGACCGAGAGAACGTTGTCAGAACTTGTCACACATAGGAGCATCAGGGCTATTACTAAAGTATTTAATTAAAACATAAAGATTTCATAATTTACACTGTGTTTAAACAGTTTATATTTAACCTTTATTTAACCAGGTTAGTTTCTTGAGATAAAAATATATTTTTCAAAAGAAAACCTGGACCTAGTTGATAACTAGGCCTTCTCTCGCTCTTCCCTTCCCTTCCTCCCCCTGCCTTCCTCCCTCTCTGTTAGAACCCACGCGGGCCTTGCGAGGTCTCACAGCCTCAGAGATCCAGTCCAGGCAGCTGACCCTGCAGTGGGAGACGCTGGCCTACAACTTGACCCGCTGCCACACCTACTCTGTGTCACTGTGCTACCGCTATGCCACCGCAGGGGGCGGTGGAGGGCACAACACTACTGTGCGTGAGTGCCTGGCGGTGGAGCACAACGCCTCACGCTTCACCCTGCGCGACCTGCCGCCCTACCACTCCATCCACGTCCGTCTGGCACTCGCCAACCCTGAGGGCAAGAAGGAGGGTCGGGAGGTCACCTTCCAGACTGAAGAGGACAGTAAGTGATGGGAGAATGTTGGAGACCTATACTGTACGTAGGAGCTCATACAGGGTACATATTCATAGAAACCAGAATAACATGGGAGAATGTTGGAGACATAAAAAGGAACTGATACATACAGGGCACATATTCATAGATAGGAACCGTCTTGTGTTGAAGTGCCCTAATGCCAAAATAATATTTTTCAGTGGTGCCAATATTCCAGTCTTGTCAGGCCAAAGTTCAGGTTGTCGGTTACTATTCATAAAAATGTGTGGCTGCTACTGAACACTGCTGGTACATTATATCAGTGCTTTTAGATGTACCTGATACCTGATCCAACCTCCTCACATGGCTGTCTACCTTCTAAATCCCTGCTTACCAGAGATCTGTGAGAAACACTTGGCTGTTTTAGTGACAGACTGTTCAGGGATCAATTTGGTAGTGTTGAAACTTCTGTGAGACCAAAATAACCCAAGGGAGTCATTCAAAACTTGTGTATTATCTCTGCTCTGCTCTAAATTCAAATTTGTGTTAACAAATTAACAAAAATAGTGCCGTTCAAATGGGGAAAAAATCTAGCTATCTATACAGTTGGGATTGATAACACTGGGTCAGTCAACATCTGCAGCTACAGTTTGATTGAAGGGATTCATAACTATCATGGTCCATCTCCTTTCCCATGCAGTCTCAGTATACTTGAATAAAAGCATTGTGACATCTCCAAGAGGCTGCATCAGCATACCAAAGGATCCGTCTCATTCTCAAATGAATATGAAATATTAATAATCATATCTGAGGCCCACCAGTAAGCCAAAGAGAACGGATTTCCCCCATATCTCCCAATATATATTCGTTTTGTGCCAAGGCAGCCAACAGCCTCTGTGCATTGCAGATGCCTGGCTGAAGGACAAATACATTTTTCCATGAAAAATAAACAAAACAAATGCACGGTTCTCACACCAAAGGGAGAAATAAAGAAAAGTGTGTGAGAGAGAGAACGAGAATGAGAGAGAAAGAGAGAGAGAGATACAGAAAAAAAGAGATACCTGTCAATTATAAACACACTCTTCAAAAGCTTTTAATCAGCAACTTTCTTTCCAAACTCTGTCACTACCGAAATAACACCAGACAGCTGTTTCCTCACAGGGCTGAATGGTTGTTGCTTTAGTCCCAGGGTAGATCCCTCTCCCCACACCACTCATCCACCCTGCACTCTACAAACACAGACTAATGGGGATTGTGGTCTGGAATAGAAAACCACAGAGCACAGAGGATACTATAAAAACAGTTAGCATTGTTTTTATAGGGATGTGTCTAGGCCAGGCTTCCCCTGGTGTCCAGGCCAGACAGAGTTTTAACAGCATTCAGCATTTATACCAATGAATGTTGTCTTAAAAAAGATGAGAGAGGCCTGTAATTTTCATCATAAGTACACGTCAACTATGACAGACAATTTATTTGCAAATTATGGTGGAAAATAAGTATTTGGTCAATAACAAAAGTTTCTCAATACTTTGTTATACAGTGATCCCTCGCCACTTCGCGGTTCACTTATCGCGGATTCGCTATTTCGCGGATTTTCATAATGCATTTTTTTTTTTTGGGTGCATTGTGCTCTGCATTCTGATTCGCTAAAAACTCACTCCCGCTTCTTGTATCAAAACATGCTACGAATTGTGCTATCATTTTGTCGTCTCGTGCAGTTATGTGTACGTACATAAAACAGCTTGGCAAATTTACATTAAGTTGGCCAAATTATCTTGTAATTTCGAACATCTCCTAAACCCATAATGTCGACGAAACGGCCTGGACCGACAAAAGCACCTGCGGATGGGCCCAAACGGCGGAAGATGCTACCTATCTCAGATAAAGTTAAACTTCTGGACATGCTAAGGGAAGGTAAAAGCTATGGTCCACCACTCTGCCGTAGAAACAGCTGTGAATCTGGCTAAACAGATTGGAGGAGACGGCTTTAATGACATGAGTCCGGATGACATAAACGCCCTGATTGATGGAGACGCACAGCCGCTGACCGATGCAGAGCTGGCAGAAATGACAAAGCCACAAAGCGACGATGAAAGAGAAGAGGGAGAAGAGGACACGAGAGATGAGGAGGAAGGACTAACGCTTGGTCGCTTAGCAACCATGGTGCGAATGGCCACTGAACTTAAGCGAGTAGCTGAGGAATGGGACCCTTTGATGAGCCGTTCATTACAGTTCTCCAACGTAATCGATGGTGGCATGTCGGTGTACAAGGATCTTTTTGCAAAGAAGAAAAAAGAGCGACAACAGCTGCCTATCACTATGTTCTTCTCCCGAACAAACACACCTGCACCGCGGGCTTCAGAAGAAGAGAACACTGCAGAGCGCAGTCAGGATGCAGCGGCCCAGTCTGAAGAGCAGTGAAACGGCCTACACGTGAGTCACTGTATTTGTATACATGTAATAGTTGCTAATTGTAAAAAAAAAAAGTTTTCTATTTCGCGGATTTCACTTATCGCGGGTCATTTTCGGAACGTAACCCCCGCGATAAACGAGGGATTACTGTATACCCTTTGTTGGCAATGACACAAGGTTTTCACTGGTATTTTGGCCCATTCCTCCATGCAGATCTCCTCTAGAGCAGTGATGTTTTGGGGCTGTCGCTGGGCAACACAGACTTTCAACTCCCTCCAAAGATTTTCTATGGGGTTGAGATCTGGAGACTGGCTAGGCCACTCCAGGACCTTGAAGCCACTCCTTCGTTGCCCGGGCGGTGTGTTTGGGATCATTGTCATGCTGAAAGACCCAGCCACGTTTCATCTTCAATGCCCTTGCTGATGGAAGGAGGTTTTCACTCAAAATCTCACGATACATGGCCCCATTCATTCTTTCCTTTACACGGATCAGTCGTCCTGGTCCCTTTGCAGAAAAACAGCCCCAAAGCATGATGTTTCCACCCCCATGCTTCACAGTAGGTATGGTGTTCTTTGGATGCAACTCAGCATTCTTTGTCCTCCAAACACGACGAGTTGAGTTTTTACCAAAAAGTTATATTTTGGTTTCATCTCCCAATCCTCTTCTGGATCATCCAAATGCACTCTAGCAAACTTCAGACGGGCCTGGACATGTACTGGCTTAAGCAGGGGGACACGTCTGGCACTGCAGGATTTGAGTCCCTGGCGGCATAGTGTGTTACTGATGGTAGGCTTTGTTACTTTGGTCCCAGCTCTCTGCAGGTCATTCACTAGGTCCCCCCGTGTGGTTCTGGGATTTTTGCTCACCGTTCTTGTGATCATTTTGACCCCACGGGGTGAGATCTTGCGTGGAGCCCCAGATCGAGGGAGATTATCAGTGGTCTTGTATGTCTTCCATTTCCTAATAATTGCTCCCACAGTTGATTTCTTCAAACCAAGCTGCTTACCTATTGCAGATTCAGTCTTCCCAGCCTGGTGCAGGTCTACAATTTTGTTTCTGGTGTCCTTTGACAGCTCTTTGGTCTTGGCCATAGTGGAGTTTGGAGTGTGACTGTTTGAGGTTGTGGACAGGTGTCTTTTATACTGATAACAAGTTCAAACAGGTGCCAATAATACAGGTAACGAGTGGAGGACAGAGGAGCCTCTTAAAAGAAGTAAGGTCTGTGAGAGCCAGAAATCTTGCTTGTTTGTAGGTGACCAAATACTTATTTTCCACCATAATTTGCAAATAAATTCATTAAAAATCCTACAATGTGATTTTCTGGATTTTTTTTCTCAATTTGTCTGTCATAGTTGACGTGTACCTATGATGAAAAGTACAGGCCTCTCTCATCTTTTTGAGTGGGAGAACTTGCACAATTGGTGGCTGACTAAATACTTTTTTCCCCCACTGTAATGTCACTGTCAGACTCAGTGCTCAAAGTAATGTCTTTAAGGGACTCTGCATCACGTAATATGAACCTCACCATCATGATGATAGTATGAACCTGATCAGTCTGAATTGACTGTAAGTACTTGTTATTTACTATAGTGGTTTTACTCAGTGGTTTTATATCCCCTAGTTTCTGATCCGTCAATCATCTCCTATTATCTTTGCTTGTACTCTCTCTGACTCTGGCCCTAACTATATACACTATGGTTAACACAAAATAGAGTCCTTTATGTCCAACATGATGCAGAATTCTCAGTTCTAAGGCTAACATTGTAAGAGAGACTCTGTGACATTGACCACAGAATATGATATTGACATTATGAGATGCTTGCCATGATATTACCGCTTCAATTTCCTGACCTGTGTGTGCGCTGCTTATTTCCCATAGTTCCCGGCGGCATCGCCCCTGAGTCGCTGACCTTCACCCCCCTGGAGGACATGATTTTCCTCAAGTGGGAGGAGCCAGTGGAACCCAACGGTCTCATCACCCAATACGAGGTAAGGATGCTTCAAACTCTGCTCGATGCCCTCCAATTATCTTCCTCTAAACATCTCCTCCCAAAGTCCTCAGGTTCACCCTCCTGACTCTCATATCATATTAGAGTTTGTAGGAATTGATTGGTGTAGTTTAGGTCAGCAAGCGCAGTGTCACAGGCATTGATTAGTACAGCTAAGTTCTAGGAGAGAAATGTCACAGAACTTTTCAAACAGAGAGTTTGAAACTGAAACAAGGACAGAACAATAAGCAGTCCCACCAACAACTTTACAGCTGTGTCATACAGTTAGCTATATTTTATAGGGGGCTGTTAATTGAGGTAATAGACACAACACAGCTGTTTGACGCTAAGAAAACAGGCAGAAGCTACAATATCAGCCGCTCTGTATGTGTGGTTGTGTATGGCATTTTTATACAAGCTCATAGTCCATCCCCAGAGCGCTCTGTTTCTCTCCACTCATCTAACAGTACATCTAGAGCTAGCAAATAGTCTGGAAAGTTAAGAAAAACGTTTATCAGCATATAGCACTGCCATGCATCATCACGTTAGTCTCACCCTAATTTATTAGCACTAATTTATTCATGCTAATTTTGGAGTAGGTCTCAGATGAAAATAGACCATTTGCAACTTTATTCTCGCTTTCTCCCTTTTGTCTTCACCTATGGTAGGGGCTCAGTACAGTATTACCTATACCAGCCTCAAGCCTTCCCCCAGCCCTCTCTCTTTCAATGTCGTCTCAAGGAGGATATTATTAAATGGGATTTGTGGTTTGACATGTAAAGAGGAGGCAGGGATGGATTTTCTCCCCGTAGCATCCTGAGCTAACAAAGAGAGCTTTAGACGGAGCAATAGAAGAAATCCTCTTCATTTCTCTCCCATTAAAGCATTAACCAGTCTCCCTGAGCCCATCGACCGCCACGACTCCAGCCTCACAAGCCCCTTCTTGGTCCTCTTTGCTCTTTCTGGAGGCTATTATCGACTTTTATATATATATATTTTTTTATGTGTGTGTACTGTGTACAGTCATTGGCTGTCTTCACAGTTACCACACCTGCATGGGCATATCGTGCTCTTAAAATTATCTGCATAGTCAATAGTTTGGTTCAAGTCAAGTCAGTGGGAAGCGAGGCGTGTCTGTGTCATTTAACATTCCCAGTTTTTACATTCCTCTCTGATGCCACATGGGTGGAATCCCATAAGACAGTTTGACTGGGTGGGAAAAAGTTGATTCCAACAGCATCAATATTTCACACAGAACACATTTCCACATTAGCATGAATGTCCTTCAGGCTTGGCCATTATGAATGAATTAGCAAGCTAAACAAAATCATTAGCCTCTTGTTATTGTGCAACCCGCAGGTTGTGAAATCTGTAAACATACAAAACAACAACGGTTTGATAATGATTCCACTTTCATGACAAAATAACAATATTACACTGGACTGCATCACATACGTTGCTGCTACTATTTCCTATCTGTCACTTTATTCCTGGTTATTTTAAAAAATATATTTATTTAACCTTTATTTAACCAGGTAAGCCAGTTGAGAACAAGTTCTCATTTACAACTGCGACCTGGCCAAGATATAAAACAGTGCGATAAAAACAACAACACAGAGTTACATATGGGGTAAAACAAAACATAAAGTCAAAAATACAACAGAAAATATATATATATACAGTGTGTGCAAATGTAGCAAGTTATGGAGGTAAGGCAATAAATAGGCTATAGTGCAAAATAATTACAATTAGTATTAACACTGGAATGATAGATGTGCAAGAGATTGTGAAAATAGAGCAAAATATATAACAATATAGGGATGATTTCAGATGGGCTGTGTACAGGTGCAGTGATCGGTAAGGTGCTCTGACAACTGATGCTTAAAGTTAGTGAGGGAGATAAGTCTCCAGCTTCAGATATTTTTGCACTTCGTTCCAGTCATTGGCAGCAGAGAACTGGAAGGAATGGCGGCCAAAGGAGGTGTTGGCTTTGGGGATGACCAGTGAGATATACCTGCTGGAGCGCATACTACGGGTGGGTGTTGCTATGGTGACCAATGAGCTAAGATAAGGCGGGGATTTGCCTAGCAGTGATTTATAGATGGCCTGGAGCCAGTGGGTTTGACGACGAACATGTAATGAGGACCAGCCAACAAGAGCGGACAGGTCACAGTGGTGGGTAGTGTATGGGGCTTTGGAGACAAAACGGATGGCACTGTGATAGACTACATCCAATTTGCTGAGTAGAGGGTTGGAGGCTATTTTGTAAATGACATCGCCAAAGTCAAGGATCGGTAGGATAGTCAGTTTTAAGAGGGCATGTTTGGCAGCTTGAGTGAAGGAGGCTTTGTTGCGAAATAGGAAGCCGATTCTGGATTTAACTTTGGATTGGAGATTCTTAATGTGAGTCTGGAAGGAGAGTTTACTGTCTAACCAGACACCTAGGTATTTGTAGTTGTCCACATACTCTAGGTCAGACCCGTCGAGAGTAGTGATTCTAGTCGGGTGGGCGGGTGTCAGCAGCGTTCGATTGTTATATGTACATATCTACCTCAATTACCTTGTACCCCTGCACATCGACTCGGTACTGGTACCCCTTGTATATAGCCAAGTTATTGTTGCTCATTGTGCATCTATTATTACTTTTATTATTACATGTTTTACTTTTCTATTATTTTTCTATTTTCTTTCTCTCTGCATTGTTGGAAAGGGCCAGTAAGTAAGCATTTCACTGTTAGTACACACCTGTTGTTTACGAAGCATGTGATTCATCTTTTTAATTATTATTTTGATTTGCAAAGCAAAATGACCAATCAGTACATTGACTTAGAGCAGCAGCACAATTTTCAAAGTCAGATGTGAATCCTCAGAGAAAATCTATTGAACAAAAGTTAAAGGATCGTTGCTCCACAAAGTAAATAACTCATGCTCTTAGAAGTAATTGCAGTATAAACCATAATGGTGTCTTTTTTTTATTTGACCACAGATCAGCTACCAGAGCATTGAGTCGTCTGACCCGGGCATCAACGTGCCAGGACCTAGGAGAACAGTGTCGAAGCTGAGGAACGAGACCTATCACATGTTCTCCAACCTTCACCCTGGCACCACATATCTGATTTCTGTCCGCGCCCGCACAACCAAGGGCTTCGGCCAGACTGCCCTAACTGAGATCACCACCAACATTTCTGGTGAGCATCGGTGTGTGTGTGCACACTCTTCCTGGGGTCCAGTAACATTAAGGCAGTTATATACAATTTAAAATATTACATGACATTACATTTCATAACACTTTTCACAACACATTAAGTGTGTTCCCTCAGGCCACAACTCTACCATCCCATATCTACAATACAAAATCCATGTGTACGTGTGTGTAGAGTGCGTTTCCATGTGTGTGTGTCATGTCAACCTTTGTACCTAGCTTGGATCAAAGTTGAACATCAACTGCCTGAAGGAGATAACAGGAGTCTTTAAATACACTATATATACAAAAGTTTGTGGACACCCCTTCAAATTGGTGGATTCGGTAAAAGTCATCTGTCCTCGGTTGCAACACTCACTACCGAGTTCCAAACTACCTCTGGAAGCAACGTCAGCACAATAACTGTTCGTCAGGAGGGTCATGAAATGGGTTTCTTCAAATACCCACCCTTTGCCTTGATGACCGCTTTGCACACTCTTGGCATTCTCTCAACCAGCTTCATGAGGTGTAGTTCCCACCGTAAAGCATGGAAGAGGAGGTGTTATGGTGTGGGGGTGCTTTGCTGGTGACACTGTCTGTGATTTATTTAGATTCGGCTATTTTAGCCACACCCGTTGCTGACAGGTGTATAAGATCGAGCACACAGCCATGCAATCTCCATAGACAAATATTGGCAGTAGAATTGCCTTACTGAAGAGCTCAGTGACTTTCAACGTGGCACCGTCATAGGATGCCACCAGTTCGTCAAATGTCTGCCCTGCTAGAGCTGCCCCCAGTCAACTGTAAGTGCTGTTATTGTGAAGTGGAAATGTCTAGGAGCAGCAACGGCTCAACCGCGAAGTGGTAGGCCACACAAGCTCACAGAACGGCACCACCGAGTGCTGAAGCGCGTAGCGCGTAAAAATCATCTGTCCTCGGTTGCAACACTCACTACCGAGTTCCAAACTACCTCTGGAAGCAATGTCAGCACAAGAACTGTTCGTCAGGAGCGTCAGGATATGGGTTTCCATGGCCGAGCAGCCGCACACAATCCTAAGATCGGCTAGAGTGGTGTAAAGCTCGCCACTATTGGACTATTGGAAACGCGTTCTCTGGAGTGATGAATCACACTTCACCATCTGGCATTCCGACAGACAAATCTGGGTTTGGCGGATGCCAGGAGAATGCTACCTGCCCGAATGCGTAGTGCCAACTGTAAAGTTTGGTGGAGGAGGAATAATGGTCTGGGGCTGTTTTTCATGGTTCAGGCTAGGCCCCTTAGTTCCAGTGAAGGGAAATCTTAACGCTACAGCATACTGTACAATGACATTCTAGACAATTCTGTGCTTCAAACTTTGTGGCAACAGTTTGGGGAAAGCCCTTTCCTGTTTCAGCATGACAATGCCCCCGTGCACAAAGTGAGGTCCATACAGAAATGGTTTGTCGAGATCGGAATGGAAGAACTTGACTGGCCTGCACAGAGCCCTGACCTCAACCCCATCGAACGCCTTTGGGATGAATTAGAAAACCGACTGCCAGCCAGGCCTAATCGCCCAACATCAGTGCCCGACCTCACTAATGCTTATGGCTGAATGGAAGCAAATCCCTGCAGCAATGTTCCAACATCTAGTGGAAAGCTTTCCCAGAAGAGTGGAGGCTATTATAGAAGCAAAGGGGGGACCAACTCCATATTAATGCCCAGGATTTTGGAATGAGATGTTCGACGAGCAGGTGTCCATATACTTTTGGTCATGTAGTGTATGTCTGAAGGGTGTTACAGCAATATGTTAATTGATGTTGCACATGGCTATAATCACAACTCCTCTGGGTCTCAAGTGAATGTTGTGAGATAGACTAATTCATTCCTATGTATCCATCAGTGGAAAAATACCAATGACATGCCCTCTTCTATATGGTGTCTGTCTCCCATCATTTGCATAGATTCCCAATACTGCAGTCTCTCTATCTGAGGTAAGGTATCTCACTGAAGACTGTTGTCTGTGCTCGTGCAGTTGTGTAGTTAGCTATAGTAGGTTTCACTCACTCTGTGCTTTTATTAGGGTCTGAAATGTGACTTTCAACCTCAGTTGCTTTATCCTCTTGTAGTGGCAAAACAACTCCTCCAAGAATATAAGTACTACCACTCCCATCCTCTCAAAAGGAGTGACACCCTGTCATCGCGCACAACAAAGCACAAAGAGCAGAGGGGAAACAAGGATTGTTATGTGTAAGGATAGATGCAGTGCTATCTTCATGGGACCATGCAGCATCTCCCAGCTGAGAGAAAGACAGACTCTGAGCTTATTACTGAAGAAGGAAATCCACCCCTGGTGTTCCATTCACTTTTAATTATGCATGTTTCCCTGTGTAAAAAGGCAGGAATAAAAACACCTCAGAGGAAACCTCAATGCAGCTCACTCTCTCTCTCTCTCTCTCTCTCTCTCCCTCTCTCTCTCTCTCTCTCTCTCTTTCTATGAGTGTGTCTCCACGCAAAGGAGAATACTGAGAGTTTTTAATTATAGATTTACTGCTCAATCACTCCTTGGTGGCTGTATGTCAGACAGGGACCTGCTGGCATGTGGCCAGAGAGAGAGTCCAAAAGCCATTATGTATCATCCTCCCCCTCCATACCCCCTCTACTGGCCTACAGTGCAGAACAGCAGAACATTCACTTGTACTGAGCATCATTCATTGCTACACTGACAACTAGCTTATAGCGCTTATAACGAACTCAACATACTGTACGTGCACCCCTACTAAGACAGCCAGAGAGCCTGCCGTCTACAGTCTACACTCTTCCAGAGTGAACTACCACAGAGCACACTCTGAACTGTACACAACCCTCAAGCTAATTCTTATTTTATCTCCATTGAGCTTACTCCAATAAACCCCCTCAAAACCTACTCCCAACCGACCAACACCTTACTGAAATCAAACACCTCACAGACTCTTCGTAGCACGCTAGAGCTTTTATGTTGCGTGTGAATAAAATAAACACACGCACACATTAAACGCCTCACTTTAATTGAAGGCAGCTTATTCAGCTAGCTGCAATTTTCCAAACCCTCTTTTTTTAATACCATAATCATTGATTCCTCCGTAATAGTTTGCCTTTCCTCCCCCTCACTAATTGACTAGGGATATTAAAGACACGCCGTGCAGAGGGAGGCATCTCCTGGGAGAAACGCAGCTTCAGCCAAATCCCTTTAAATGAGAAGCTCCTTCTATATGTCCTGCACTTCCAGGACTTTAAATTGCACTCGGTATCCAAGACAACCAATACATAGGGAAATTCGGGAGGGACATTTCTGAGGGAATGGTGACATTGTTTTGTGGATATTCAATTGACTGTCAGTTTCACAAGAGTTGATGGGGCTGCAGACCTTTTATGAGAGAATAGGGAAAGAGGCTGTGTGTTTATTAGATAGGATGTGTGGATAGACACAGCTCAGCTGGTTTTAAAGGGGACTGATGAAGGATATGTCTGTGTGTGTGTGTGTGTATGTCTGCGTGTGTGTGTCTGCATGTGAGTGTGTGGCGTGAGAGTATGTGTGTGAGTGTGTGTTAGAGCATGTATATGTGCGCGCATGTATATTATCTTGGTCAGTCTAATTGCTATATAATATAACTTTGTCTGTACTCCTGTGCCCTGTCTCTTCAGCTCCAATGTTTGACTATGGAGACATGCCGTCCCCTCTGAGTGAAACAGAGAGCACGATCACTGTGTTGCTTCGCCCCGCCCTGGGCAGGGGAGCACCCGTCAGGTGAGAACACAACAGCAACAGACACACACAGACATGTACACACAGAGAACATTGTTCATAGTGACATTTACATTACAATACATAGATATTTAAGATTTATAGACATTTTGATGTCACATTTACAGCACATACATATTATTTGCCAATGCCCCCATATGATCAAATTTAATGAGAAACATCTTACAATAATTAATACCAACCTTTTGTATTGTGACCTGTCTCTACCAGTAAGTACCAGGTTGTGGTAGAGGAGGAGAGTGGCAGGAAGGTGAAGAGGGAACTGGGGGTTCAGGACTGTTACCCTCTGCCCATGTCCCACGGGGATGCTCAAGCCAGAGGGACCCCCCACTACTACACGGCCGAGCTGCCCCCCAGCAGCCTGCCTGAAGCCAGCCCCTTCACTGTGGGGGACAACCACACCTACAATGGCTACTGGAACACCCCGCTGGACCCCCGCAAGAGCTACCTCGTCTACTTCCAGGCAATGAGCAACTTCAGAGGGGTGAGTACAGGGCTTGAAGAAGGCTGTGGCTGATTTCTAGATCAACCCCTAGCCCCTAGGCGATCTGAGAGTATGGGTAGGTAAGCAATAGGTCGTTATCAATTAAACGTCACAATACGGTTTAGAACGTTCGATATTGCTGCTGGGAGACCCCCAGCTCCTTTAAAACCATTGAAAACTATGTGCCGTTTTTAAGGGATTTTTAAATAAATGTTATAACTAATTGGTTTTAATATCATCACCTCTTGAAGAGCATAGTCAGAACTACACATTTCCGATGATTCCACATTTAACTCTATCATCAGAGTTTTACGACAAGTAACGCATGCTTTTCAAGATAGGTAAACATGTACTGTATATTCAGATACGTGAGGGTAGCCTATCCATTTGGCATATAGCTAGCTAGCTAAGCAAACAATGTGTCATTTAGCTTGCTTAATCAGAGATTAGGCTTTTCGAAAGAGTTTGGCATGGGCAAATCACTTGTCAGAAAGCTTAAGAGACACGGCGTGGCTAATCTCAGTGCGAAGGCTCCCGGTGAGAGCAATAGTCCAATGGAGCTGTTATGTTAAAACAAAAAAATGCCCAATGCCATCATGTACTGATTATGAAACACTTCAACACTTATTATTAGAATGTAGCAGATCAAAGGAAATCTGGGAACAAATGCAAGATATTGGAGTCACTTTTCAAGTCAAACCAAATACCATACTGAATGGGAAAATATATGGAACACTTAAAGAGATCTATAAAGAACTTTTTCGCCTCATCATATGTGTAGTGAATGCACAAATATGGAAAACCCAATGCCGAATGACAATTGAAAATGTCTTGATTCCCAGCCAAACAGTTTTTAAACAAATTAGAACGGAACTGAAAAGGAGAAGAACCAACGAAATGAGGAGGGGACAACGGGAAGTTCTTGACTTTTGATTTAGAAACAAAAAAAATATATATATATATATATATACACTACCAGTCAAAAGTTTGGACACACCTACTCATTCAAGGGTTTTTCTTTATTTGTACTAATTTTTTACATTGTAGAATAATAGTGAAGACATCAAAACTATGAAATAGCACATATGGAATCATGTAGTAACCAAAAAAGTGTTAAACAAATCAAAATATATTTCAACCCAATTGAGATGGTTTGGGATGAGTCGGACCGCAGTGTAGGAAAAGCAAGTGCTCAGCATATGTGGGAACTCCTTCAAGACTGTTGGAAAAGTATTCCAGGTGAAGCTGGTTGAGAGAACGCCAAGAGTGTGCAAAGCTGTCATCAAGGCAAAGGGTGGCTACTTTGAAGAATCTCAAATATAAAATATATTTTGATTTGTTTAACTATTTTTTGCTTACTACATGATTCCATATGTGTTATTTCATAGTTTTGATATCTTCACTATTATTCTACAATATAGATAATAGTAAAAATAAAGAAAATCCTTGAATGAGTAGGTGTGTCTAAACTTTTGTCTGGTACTGTATATATAATTTAAATGTGATGTAACTTACAATGTATGATATTAATCCAGTTTACAAATAATAAAGATGTGGCCTCCCGAGTGGCGCAGCGGTCTAAGGCCTTGAGGCGTCACTACAGCCCCGGGTTCGATCCCAGGCTGTGTCACAGCCGGCCATGACCGGGAGACCCATGAGGCGGCGCACAATTGGCCCAGCATCGTCCGGGTTAGGGGAGGGTTTGGCCGGCCGGGATTACCTTCTCCAATCGCGCTCTAGCGACTCCTTGTGGTGGGCCAGGCGCCTGCAAGCTGACTTCGGTTGCCAGCTGGACGGTGTTTCCACCGACACATTGGTGCGGCTGGCTTCCGGGTTAAGCGAGCAGTGTGTCAAGAAGCAGTGCGGCTTGGCAGGGTCGTGTTTCGGAGGACGCATGGCTCTCGACCTTCGCTTCTTCCGTGTCCGTAGGGGAGTTGCAGCGATGGGACAAGACAGTAACTACCAATTGGGATGTAGCTCAGTTGGTTGAGCATGGCGTTTGCAACGCCAGGGTTGTGGGTTTGATTCCCACGGGGGGGGGGGCAGTAAAAAAAAAATATATATACTAAATAATAATGTATGCACTCACTAACTGTAAGTCGCTCTGGATAAGAGCGTCTGCTAAATGACTAAAATGTAAATGTAATTGGATATCCCGAAATTTGGGGGGATAAAAGGGGTAATTTTAAAAACACTTTTTTAAAATAATAATAAAGATAATATTAATAATAATAACGCCTGATCATCTTTTTAAAAAGCAACAAAACAAAGTAACAAAACAAGAAATTATGCAAACATCTGATTGCATTTCATGAAAGAGAAAAGAAACAGAGAAATGTGTTTTAAAAGCTGATCTTGTTTTCAAATGTATAGTCGTCTGTCGGACTACTGTCATCCCCACTATAGATGGCAAGCAAATCAAACAATATTTGGGTATAGCCATCTAGTTTATCCCCTGAAAGTTAGCTTGTTAACTAGCCATATTGACGTGATATGTTATTAGCTAGCAAACCAATTTGACATGGTCCATCAATCAATGTAGGATGACTGCCAGCAGCAATCGTGATTAAACACTCTTAAAAACAATGGGGATAATGTTAGCTAACTTTGCTAGGTAGGCCTACGTTGGTTGGAGAAAAAAGTACACTAGGTCTACTTAACACTATGTTTTGCCAACTGTGTAAAGTTTCTACCAGTAGCTTGCAAACTAAACATTATAATATCAACTAACAGTACATCGGCAAATGCACCCTTCTGTTGCTTGACAGGCAGAGCCCACAAAGGATAGGAAATTAACCTAAACCACTCATACTTGTCAGGTAAAGCTCACATGTATTTTATATCACTCAAATATCCAATTAATGGTGGCCAATATTGAGAGATATCCTCACGTATCTGAAATTACATGATCAATTGATGTTTACTGATCATTACTGATTGTTTTGCATGGAATAATCTGAAATGTGTAGTTCTGACTATGCTCGTCAAGAGGTGATGTTACAATTAAATAGTTAACATTTGTTTAACAATCCATTGAAATGGCAGGCAGTTGTCAATGGTTTTAGAGGAGCTGGGGGTCTCCTTGCCTCCCAGCAGGCAAATCGAACGCTCTGCACCTTATTGTGACATTTTATTGATAACGACCTGCTTGCTTCAGTTGCTAATTGGCTGGGTAGAAATTTTGCCCAATTGCTTACACTTATCCAATCCTTTCAGATCCACAGAATCTGAAAATGTAGTATTTTTCTAACTTCCATTGTCCTCCAAGACTGGCTGAATATATATCCCATACTGTATGCCAGGCTTGAAAGAGCAGGGGAAATTACCTCCTTTAGGATATGAAAATATTTGTGGTGTGAAATGTGCTTGTTGGAAGGGATTATTATTATTTATTTATTTGCCTGGATTGGCATGGTCCCTAGCTGGAATCCATGTATCTGAATGTGTCCAGTGCTTTGATTCGATGCACAACATACAAAGGGTGTCAGGGACAGGGAATTACTTGTGCACATTACTTCCAGCTAGTAAATCTGTGATTAGCTGGTATTACTCAGAGAGACAACAAAGAGACAAGTGGGCTCTCCTTTTCTCTCCCCCCCCCCCCCCCCCCCCCACATTATCCCTCCCTACATTCTCTGTCCTTTCCCTCTCCCTTTTTTCATCCCTCTGCTACTGGCCTTATCCATTCCCTCATCCCTCCATTCTTCTCCTCTATCTACTCCATTCTTCTCTCTTTTATTCCAAATCAGTGGAGACTCGTTAAACCCTGTGACTAATAGGATCCTTAGTAGGGGAAGATCCGGATCCTGATCCAGCAGGGTTTTATTCCAGACCACAATCATCTGTTCCTGTTCTCTCACTCCACTGATCCTCTCCTGCCCAAATAAAGCTGCAGTAGTCCCAATCATACACCAAGGAAGCCCCATTATCAGTCCAAACTGCCATTACAGGATCCCACTATCTGGTAGAGACAATTAGTTAGGGATAATTGGACACAGGTGCAGATGATCAGTGGTATACATTTTCTGTTTTAATATTCAGGGAGCGCAGCAAGGCTTTTCTTTGCAAATCTAAATCTGGGCCAGCATTCGGAGCAACCTTTTGTGGATCATCAGTAAGGTAATGGATTCCTACAGGACTTTGCATCGTTGCTCTTTTCAATACCTCTGGATAGCATGGTATGGTAGGTTACCTTTGTTATTTTAGAGTCTTATAGGTGGAAGTCTGATAAATGGGTGTATTCTAGTCTAGCAAAACAACTCACCCCCCTTTTCCTCCAGCGGTGGTGGTGGTGGCTTTTTCCGGCCCAGTGGAGAAATGCTAGGGGCAGTGCAGCGTGAGCAGTTCATACAACTGGGTTAATAAGCGGCAAGATTAGACAGTGAAGGGTCTGACTTTACCGGCGGATGGGATTAGGGCTTTGTTTTGGCTGGCAGCGAGCCAGACTCCAGCGCTATGAGCGGGCGGGACAATGGAGGCACAGTAACCGATCACAAGGCCCAGCCCTAAGTCCCCAGGGGGCTCTGCCAGCCAAGGCCACGCGGGCACCAAGGGTATACAGTAGTTACACAGTCAGTCAGGCGGTCCCCATACCAGTTCCAGGGCTCTCCCCATGGGCACAGAGAATCCACACTCCCTTCATGCCAGATCACTTTATTGGGCTTATATACCCCTCATACAGAGGAGAGTTAATGTACACTCTTAGAAGTAAAGGAGCCTGGAAGAAGCTTTTGGGTTCTAAAAATTGTCACACAGGGGGAACCTTTCACATGGGAACCTATTCTAATATTCTAATATAATATTAACATTGCTGATTACATATACAGTTGAAGTCAGAAGTTTACATACACTTAGGTTGGAGTCATTCAAACTTGTTTTTCAACAACTCCACAAATTTCTTGTTAACAAACTATAGTTTTGGCAAGTCGGTTAGGACATCTACTTTGTGCATGACACAAGTAATTTTTCCAACAATTGTTTACAGACGGATTATTTAACTTATAATTCACTGTATCACAATTCCAGTGGGTCAG